AAATTACTTCTCGCAAGCTTTGCCACCTGAAATAACTCTAAAGCACCCCGTTGCAGAGAAGGAGTTTCAGACACATATCCCTTCTTAGTAAGACACCAAAGACAACACTTTATTCACATCCCACTAGAAAGAACGTAAGTTAATTAATGCATTTTCTGGCCTTTTATATCTTCTTGTACATTCCGTAATTGTTATCAATTCTTTCTCACAATTTTGTTTTTAAATTTTTGATTTGATTCGGCACTTCCGTAATTGAAATTTTGTCTCCTTCAATAATTTTCACAGCATTGTGAAATAATGTAGCTTGGTTGTGCATGAACTGAAGACAAATTTGTGATGTATCATTTTCAAAAAACAGCTGCAATATTCTTGGACATTTACCTTGTGATAAAAAGTATGCTTTTAATGGTTCGTATATTTAAAAAATATTTTCTACAGCTGGTAAAAGAGCATCGTGTTTTGCTGTAACCAAAATTCTTTTATATTCGATTTCTGCGAAAAATCCTTCAAACTTAACACGCACAATATATGTATAAAAATACGAATAAATTTTTGAAATATTTTCAACATCCACTGGAAGTTTGTCAGATACTGTTTGAATAGTATTGTGTAAAACGTGAGCTGCGCAACCTACTCAAATAATTTTTTGGTTCAAACGTTTGTTAAGTTTCGTAAAAACGTTATTGATGCCTCTTCTAGCTTTTTTACCAAAATTTGCGTCAGTGTCGACAATAAAATTATTACCTGACATTCAGCAATAATTTTACTGTTCAAATTATTCTTTTTTAAAATAGTACTTATTGATTCAAAAATTATTTATGAAGTTTCATCCGGCGTAGGAGAGCCTGACTGCAATACCGAAGGGACTGGGTTCGAATCCCGGAGAAGGCATGGTTGTAACTGTTTGTTAGGCAGTGGCAAAAGGAGGCAATGGTGGCCCACCTATTAGATGCCTCCATAATAAAAAGACCGCCACATCTGGCCTTAGTATACATTAATGTACTCTGTTACAAAACTGTAATTGTTCACAATCTGCCATTGGGAAAAAAAAAGTTTCACCCGGCAATGAAAAAAAATGTAATATTCTAATTTTAATTCCTGTTTCTGGATCAAAAAGTCTAGAAATTGTGGAAAAGAAGGGGAAAAAGAGGGGGGGAAGATCAGAAGAGAGGACATAAAATGTTTGCATATTATCTTAATCTTCTTTCTTCTGCCCAATTGTGAAAACGCATATATATAAAACACAATTACCAAACAAATTGCTATCGGTTTTTTGTAATACAATGTCTTGAGCACCTGCGACTACAATCAAAATTGAGACTGAAACTTGATTGTGGTTATGGTGTAGAACAAATAGCCCTTCAGCTAATGCTAGCTGTTCCCTCCGTTAACAATAATATTCCTTGACGAGAGTAACAACATTGTCGAACACCAATAACTCGTTACATCGCCTATTCAATTCTAACTAGTTACATCGCCTAATTCAGTTACTTGCAGCATTTTATGCGTTTTTTTTTATTTTTTATATTCATATATAATATAAATAATAGTAATAGATTTTTACAGTACATTTAAAAAGAATGCAGATGTTTTTAAAAGCGGGATATTTTAAAAAATCTCGGGATGCGGGACAGTCCCGCCAAAAATCGGGACGTGTGGTACTTTATACATTGGGTCACTCTTTTTAGATATTTCTAAATTTATATTAGATAAATAATCACTATTCTTAGTAAATAAGGTTTACTTCAGATACGCCCTCATTTCACCAAATGTGGCATATGGGTTTTGCGCTGTTTTTTGCACAACTGTGTTTGACGTTGAAAAATATTTCGCTGGAGCTCGTTGGTTCGTCTGTGTCTCAGAAGATAGGGGGAAAATAAAATTGTGGAAGTGTTGAAGTTTCAAAAGGAAATTTGGCATCCTGTGAGTGGCAGTGGGTATTGGAGGTGTGGAAAGAGGTCTGGAGATTTTTAGTGGCTGTGCATGATAGAAAAGGGATTTGTGATTTATTATTGTGAACCAAGTATGAATTTCCTGATCGGTGTCTGGCTGTCATATAAATACGATAGTGATTATGTGGCGGCATGTCCAGGCGGTCGAAATTAGTATTTCTGCGTTCGAAAAGCATTAATTCATGGTAAGTGCATTTTATTTTTGTTCTTATTTTGTAGAACGTTTATGTTTTTTTTAGTATGATTTCTGTAGTTATTGTTTTTTTTAACTGTTTGAATTTTTTATTAGTTTTTTGTTGATTAGTAATAGTATTAGATTTCAATTTGTAGATGTTTTTTTAAGTTGAAACAGAAGCTGTGTACAGGGTATTCTTGAATTATTGTGTTAATTTATTAAGCGAGGCATGCGTAGTTTGCAGATCTTCGTCGCCTAAATTGTGCAATTCGTAATGTTTTTAATTAAACCAGTCGATGTTACATGGGTCTTGTCAAATATTTTGGTTAGAAACTTTACGTTTTGCTATCTAAATTTTTGGTGTTTGTTTCGGTTTTAGCTTAAATTGTGTGTCAAACATGGTTTCGCACATGCGAAACATGTTTTTAAGACATTTTAGGCTTAAAGTTCGAAACGTAGACAAAAAAATTTAGATAGTAATGTGGCAGGTGTGTTTGGCAAGAAATTTGGCAACTTGAGGGCGCATATCAGTGTAGTTCCATAAATAAGTTATTATTAGCTTACTTTGCAGCTAAGTATTAGAAAAACTTGTTTTCAAACTAAGTGAATTTAAGATCATTAACATTTGATATATGCATACATTTCTGAATCCGGTCCCGATAACAGAACAGTACCGAAATAAAAAATAAGCTAGACCACTAATCGAATATCCTTTTACTATGCTTGCAAGTCCTCCCATTTCACAGTTACAAATGCCCAGGCCTTTTTTATGGAAGCACTTCCGCAGAGAACCGGTAATGTAAATCGCCACTTTGTCGATATAGTTCAAACCTGGTAACCCAGGGTTTATATTTCGCTTGTCCAAGTTTCCAACCATTCCTCTTGCATTCATTTTGAATTATCACTGCATTATTCGCCTTTGCAGATTTAAATTTTCTCATTAGTATTTTTTTCTAATTTTTTAAAACGAACAGATAGAATTTCGTAGATAGATGCCAGTTCTCGGTGGGGGGTGAAAGGAGAAATACGGGGAGGGGTGAATGCTAATTTGTACAACGCTGTTCCGTTGTGTCTAATCTTAAACAGCTAAGAACAATGAGGTTTCTAACCTCTAAACAATTTGTTTGTAGGCCACAAAACTGGCATGTGATTTTAAATAATTAAGTAAGCTTTTTTTTTATGGTTATTGTCCTCTAAAATAGAGAATACTATTTTTATGGCGTAAAATTTTAACAATATTGTTAATGTTTTTACAATACCTTTCAGAGAAGGCAGATATGACATAAATAGATGATTAAATGAAATAAAAAATATTATTGATTATCCAGATGACGGAATAGTTTGATGCCTCACCATGGCCATCAAAAGCAAACCACTGCTGGTTGTAAGGAATATATTATTTCTGTGCTACTGGGAATTTAAGACAATTTTTCTCGTATATCACTTTAACGGTTAATTTCAGTATATAATACTAATTTATATTTTTTAAATGAATTTTTATTTCCGTTATAAATTCTTATATTTATCCTATGGTTAATATATTCTTTTCTGTGCTAACTTGAATTTAATACAAATTAATTTTTGTATATCACGTTTAACCGGTTGGTTTTCAATCTACATGCTTATTATCTGTGAATTTTTACTACTATATGCTTAATATATTGTTTTGTCTGCTAACTTGAATTTACATGCACTAAAAATCACGTTTACGGCTCAGCTCATTGTCGATAAACCGCGAGCTTGGCGAGTAAAAATGCAACGGCGCCAACGGGTTCTCTGCGGATGAAAACCCTTTTTATTAATGGATGAATGAATAATTACAAGAGATTTGAACCCAAGCCTATCAGTAGACAGGAAGCTTTAGCTAATAAGCTAAGGCAGTAGTAGCTCAGACAGCCATTGTTTTATCTAGCAGATATGAGTAGACCTCTCATATCTCTGCAGGTCTTGCAACAATGATTCTTAATCACAAGTGGGTAAAGTGCAGAATCGCCCACTTATTGCCTTTTACAAGAGTAAGAAGAGTTGGATTTTTGTCAATTTTCTTTGACTTTTTAAGTGAAAATAGGTCGATGTACACATTGATAAAGGGAGTGCACAATGCCATTTTTGTGCAATTCTGGGATTTTTTTTAAGTGACAATAGGTCGATGTGTACATGGCTACCGAGTATGTGCAATTTTTAAAAACGTGCCAAGCAGTGGGTGATTCTGCACTTTCCCCTCACAAGTTGCTCAATTTGGAGAAATACGAATATATGTTAACTTTAATTAACAGAAATGATCATCTGAAGATTTTCGCAGCCTCAAACAGATCATTGAAAAACTTGCAAAGGTTCAACATGGACAAATATCAACAAAGATAAAATGTAATTCGGAAATATTCCCAAAAAGACAACTGGTGAACAGGGCATTAATTAGAGCAACTAATAAACAAATAACTAACAGCTCAATAAACAAAAAGTTATGGTCAAAATCGATACCACATAAATTTGCAGCTTTGCAGGCTTAACCCAATTCTAACTGTTCATTTTTCAGATTAACTTCAATTAGCATCTTTTAAGACAGACAAAAAAAAAAAAAAGTCATTTAAAAATTAGCACAAATTTGCAGCTTTAAAGACTTGAGCCAATTCTTGCTGTTTTGTCTTTCTTTTCATTAACTAATCTAGCATGTCTTTTTCGAGAGACAAAAATGGTCGTATAAAAAACTTTTCAGATTTTTCTCACAAATATTTGCTTTTGATTAGTTTTTATGCAGATAGGCATCTGCTTAATCAGATGCTGAACTAATACAAAAAGTTTCTTATATTAATTATCAACACTGATTAACAATTGTGCATTAATTAACAACATTCCTAAAAATATTTACTTACGAGATTTAGGTTTCAATTTCCTTGGAGGAACTTTCCTACGATTAGGTGTTGCTGGAACTAATGCAAGTGGTTTCTCCTCTGAACTCGGACTGTCATAATCCAGTTCACGAGCACAATCTGGTGCTGCATCTTCAAAACTACTATTACTTGATTCATTATCAGAGTATGCTTTATGTTCCTCTGCGGGAGGCACTGAGGCAATTTTTTCTTTAGATTGCTCTTTTTCTAAAGGAGCAACAGTAATTGGAGTGTTTTCTTCAGCATCTGTGTTTAATGGATATTTCTGAAGCCCATGGATAGCAGCAGATATGGCTATATTCATAAAACTATCATTATCTACATTAGAACCACCAGGTCCATACTGACTTTTCAATGAAGCATATAAAGCCTGAAATTCAGGTAAATCTATTTTATTCTCTTCTAAACAAACTAACACAAGGTATGTACATTTCGGATTATTACGAAATAAAGAGCAATTTCTTAAATGGTCCTCTAAATACTGCCGTTCAATAGAATCCCAATTAATAAAAGTAAGCAAAGTTCTCAAATCATTTTCTCGTTTGCTTACATCATGCTCAACCCATTTACAGATAAAATTCAACAAAACATGCTGTGGTATAAGACACTGCTTCTCTTTGAAAAATGCCTCTAGCTTACTAAAAGTGAATTCTAATATTTCGCTTTGCTCAAAGACTTCAACAATATGATTATGAATAAATGCAGATGCATTTTTCTGAAGTACAGGTAAATTATACTTCTCTGCCATTTCCTTAACTGTTAAACAATTAGATGGATCTAAATACCTATCCAAATATTCTGCACAATAATTTTTCAGTTTGATCACAAGAAAATGATTTGCTAATCTTAATAACTCCCCAACATTATTTTTATCAATCACAACAGCACCCGTGTACATATAATTTAAAAGCAACTGGAATGCATCAAGATTCTGACAGGTTACGGTAAGCTGCTCTTTAATTACTTTGTGAGTTTTTAGAACAGAGTCAAAATATGGACTGCATGCAGCCAAAACATTGCGATGAGCTTGGAATTTTTGTCCCTGGACGTGCAGAACAACATCACAAAACCGGCCAGCCTCTCGCTGGCTCCACAATTTTTCTAGTACAATACATGCTTGCTGGTTTTCTGTAAAATTCATAGCACTAGCTGGTATTAACGTACTAACTGCCATATTAATGTAGTCCTCTTTTAAAAGCTGATGATCAAGAAACGTTACAGTGAAATGTAGTACTGAACATTTTACTTAATGCTATGATAGTAAAACGACACATTACATTAAAATTACAAAATAAACATTTTGAGAACAATAATTACAATTTTTACGGAATATAATGCTGTCAACTTACCTCTAAATTAACACATACAACCATACAAAATGGACTGGAAAACACTTGCATCTCAACAGCATACAAATAAAACTATTCACAACGCGAGTTTTTGGCAGCGAGTTAACGGTGGACCAGCTAATAATGGAGAAGAGGGAGATGCTAAGCCTAAACTTAGGGGCAATCCACAAGATAATTTTCCGTTGCTTGAAGAGCAATTGTGAAATTTAAATTTAGCGACTCACAATGACTCATATGAGAACCAGAAAGCATGTATTTGTACGTCATGCAAAAGTGTACAAATTTCCAAAGAATATGTTTACACCTACACAACCAAACCCAATCTCACACCTAACGGAAAACCAATCACATATTCAGACAATGGATGCCCAATTTCAAAAGGGATAATTTTACGTTGTTGCTGCCACATGTAGTGTATAAAATAGTAAGATACACACTATAAGTATTAAAAGAATAAAATAAAAGATGCACGTCTTCAGTAAATGCATTGTTTTTTTGTTCTTAACTGTGGTTCGATATTTCACAGTTAATATGGATTATCGGTCATTCAAAATCAGCAAATTGGGCACAAAGCAGTTATTAAAAATACGACAAATTGCTCTGAATCTTTCCCACGCTTTGGACGTGACCTTGGGAATTAGGGACTTAATTTGATCAATTTACTAATTTTAAGAAATAGATTATGTTGTGTAAATCAATAAGATATAGCAGAATTTAAGTTTCTATCTAGTATCTTGGGCCGAATCTGTCAGACAAAGATGAATCGTGGTGCTTTTCTTGGACGTCAATAAATTGAATCTATAACACTGAATCAAAAAAAAAAAAAAAAAAAAAAAAAAAAAAATTCTTCTCATCAAACAACGTCAGGTTCATCTAAAACTCTACGTAAAAAACTGCAAACTGTTCTGTTGTAAATTACAAAAGCACCGCACTATATTAGAAACAATGCGATTCATGCGGAACTAGGCATAATTCCACTGAGAAGTTTTTACTACCTCTTGGCCAAACAGTTTCACATACGTTTACGTACTATAAGAAACTCTGAACATAGAATTTATAATTACGAGTATAAGAATGATAATAAATAATAATTTAAAAAAAAACCGCTACTGCCCATTGTCAAACCAAATGTAATCATGGAAGTCTGATTTCTATATTTACTTTGTCATGTTATACTATTTTTTGTTTTTATTTATTATATTTATATTTATATCCTGTGTGTACTGTCCCCAATAGCACGGCGACGTCGCTATGACATTGCAAACGTGTCACACTGTGACAATCTCAATGTCGCAGTAACGTTGTGGGCATGGCTTAATATCCGGTTTTTGTGACGTTGATGTGAAGTCAAATTGGGACTTTGATGTGAAGTCATATTATGACATTGTTGTGAAGGCAAACTATGACACTGATGTCATGCTGCGACATTGTTGTGAAGTTTCACTGCAATATTGTTGTGAACTCACACTGCGACGTTCACGTAACGACACAATACGGCTTTAATATAACGCCATAAAGTGACATGAATGTTAGCCTAATCAAGTGCAATGAATGCACAGTCGGTCACAAAGTACTCGAACACCGGTACCCTACCAGAAAATGACCAGATGGCCTTTTTTCTCTCGTGTTATTCCATCATAGGGTTTTTTTCCTTCCCCATCTTGGAAAACTGAAAATCTACACCATCTCTCTTTGAATTCGGAAGCCATTTTGGGAAGAGCGGACTACCCCATCTTGGAGAACGGAAATGAACGCTCTACACCACCTCTCTTTGAATTTGGAAGCCATTTTGGGAAAAGCGGACCACATCATGTTGGAGAACTAAAATGAATGTTCTACACCCATTCTCTTTGAAATGGGAAGCCATTTTGGGACAACCTATTCTTGGGAAACTGAAGTCTACACCTCCCCCTTCTCTATCTGAATTCGGAAGGCATTTTGGGAAAAGCGGACCTTCTCATCTTGGAGAACTGAAATAAACACTCTACACGATCTCTCTTTGAATTGGGTAGCCATTTTGGATCACCTGATATTGGAGAACTGAAATCGACCCCGCCCCTTTTTGAATTCGGAAGGTATTTGGGGAAAAGCGGACCATCTCATCTTGGAGAATTGAAATGAACGCTCTACACCCTCTCTCTTTAAAATGGGTAGCCATTTTGGGACTACATAACCTTGGAGAACTGAAATGAACGCTCTACACAATCTCTCTTTGAATTGGGTAGTCATTTTGGGACCATCTAACCTTGGAAAACTAAAATGAACTCTCTACACGATCTTTCTTTGAATTGAGTAGCCATTTTGGGACTCCCTAACCTTGGAAGACTGAAATAAACGCTCTACACGATCTCTCTTTAAATGGGTAGCCATTTTGGGACCCTCTAACCTTGGAGAACAGAAATGAACGCTCTACACCCTCTCTCTTTGAATTGGGTAGCCAATTTGAGAAAAGCGGTCTACCTCATCTTGGAAAACTGAAATGAACACAATCTCTCTTTGAATTGGGTAACCATTTTGGGATCTCCTAATGTTGAAAACTAAAGTGAACGCTCTACACTCTTTGAATTCGGAAGCCACCAAAATTGGTATATATATATATATATATATATTATTGTTATTATGACCATCATACAATTTGTTAAAAAACATTTTATGACATTTCCGATTTTATTTTAGAGTCGCAATTCCATAACAGTTCAGTTTCATTCGAGAATAACTTATCTAAACAATCTTTTACCCACAAATCCACTATTATTCTCCTCAAGATCCATTAAACTTTGTAAGTCCATAAAATCATCAAGTACAGGAAGCGTTGGATCCTCAAAAAGTTGTTTTGAATATATTTGAGCCTCTTTGGGACGAGTTTGGGGATCCATGATTCCTGGACCAGGCTGAGGTTCTGCCTCCATGATTTCTGGACACGTTTGAGATTCTGGACCAGGCTGAGATTTTGCCTGCATGATTTCTGGACACGTTTGAGAAGAAGAGGATTCTGGAAGAGGTTCTGGATAAGTCTGAGAGTCCGAAAGAGGCTGCCTGTCTGAACAAGTTTGAGAAGAGGATTCTAGGTTCATGAACGTAACTCCCAGTTCCACGCCAGACATGTTGCGGTAAGTCAACCGTTTCTTAATAGGTAACTTTTTCTCTTCTTCTTCCTCCTCCTCTTCATCATCATCCTCGATCGTGATCACTTCAATTTCTTTCCTTATACCCGCCCATCTCGTTTCGGGCCATGACTGTTTTTTTCATCTCCTCTCATCGTCTAAAGAAGGGATGGCAGAAGTAGGCTGTTTGTCATCTTGAAACGCAATCGGAGTTTGGAAAGGAATCTCCTTTTTCAATTGTTTCCAAAGAGTCCACGGGCACCGATCGACGAGAAACAGGCTCTTCTGTGTCGTGATGATGAGATAACGCGTCTTCGGAAGGACGACATAGTTTTTGAGAGGTCTTAAAGTATATTGCTTAAATTTCATCCTGTCGGTGGCTTTGAAACCTCTTTCTTGGATATCGAGGGACGGTAATTCGTAGTAGACGAGGGGAGAGACTGTGGTCTGATAAATATGAACTTCATCTTCGGCCGTCATTCTCACTCCAAACGTAAAGTATCTTTTCGTGAGAAAAATTTTCTTTCACCGAAAACTCATGCGCGAATCCGTATATCTCCGGTCTGTTTGAATAGGACGTTTCAAAGCTCGAACCACCCGGTTCCAAGAGAAGGATAATTCATCTTTCGTTTGTTGAGAGTCAAATAGATTCCTATACATATTCTGAACGAGCAGGTCGGATGATTCGACTATATGCTTGAAAGAGACGATCCCTTGATCGGCTCCTAAATGCGGAATAAATTTAGCACAATGACTCGACAAAAAGATTTTCAGGTTGGGGATTTGCGTCAGCGTCTTCAAATCCTCTACATCCGAAATAAATTGAGTCGGGAAGACATCTAACAGCGACATGGCTCCAAATGAAAATGATCTCGCCTTTTGCTCTCGCCTTTATATACACATAGAGTCTCTATGACGTCAGTTTTGTTTTTTTTTCGTTTATATATATCATTTCCAAGAAATCTTATCTCCATGACGACCTTTTTAAGTTAAAAAAAAACTAACCAACCATGATCTTTTTTTTTCCAGTCACCCTTTCTATCCCAAGGACGTCCAGAGATAGAGGAAGAACGCAAAGGAGGGGGGGAGGTCTCCCTCTCTACATAAATAGAATGGGAGAGCCAAAAAGTCATATTTGTTTGGAAAGTCGATCGTGATGAGGAATCCACAGCTCACAACGTGCATTCCTTTCTAATATAAAAATTTTGAGCTTTCCTTTTTTATCATCCAAGGAGTCGTTTACTTGAAACCCTCCGATTTTTCAAAGTGTGCGGGTTATAATATAGTGGGTAGCTATCACAAGATGCGGGAACAATTTCTGGCCAATGAAACAGTTTTGATGGCTCGTGAAATTTCTACTTTGGATACACAAATTTTACCGATGAAACGAACCAAATATCATTACACTGCCACCTTTCTAACTCTCCCGCAAATGAACAGTATTATGAATCGTCTTGAGAAGAAAAAAAGGATCCTCATTCATTTTAGCGACTGGTTGCACAAATTTCTGCGCGAAACTCTCTCGTTTGTGAGGACTGGGAAGAATCCATATTATATGCTCGAGGAAAATCATCTTAACGAGTCCACGACTTTTCAAAAAATTACCGAGCAAGAAAAGATTGAATGGTTGAAAGGCTACCCCATCTCTCTCACCGATGATTAGGATGAGGATGGTGATGAGGAGCCCTTTTCAAAAGCCTATCATCATCGATGAGAATGAGGAGGCGAAGGAGCCTGTTCAGATTCCTCTCCATTTGTCAAGACCTCTCGAGGATGAAAGACCTCTCCATTTGTCAAAACCCCTCGAGAATGAGGGACCTCTCCATTTGTCATAACCCCTCGAGAATGAGGAACCTCTCGATTTGTCAAGACCCCTCGAGGATGAGGGACCTCTCAATCTCTCAAGACAGAACCCCCATATATCTCTCGAGGATCAGAGAGAAACCATTCCTATTGAAAAACAATCTATCAACGATACTCAAAAAAGCCCCTCTAATGAGACTAAGCTTCCATTCAAAAAACGAGTCTACAATATACCCACCCCCTCTCAACAGAATCCTATAAAATTTGCAGATAAATGCATTCAAACAGACCCCTTTATAGTAACCCTTTTGATTGGAAAACCCGTGCCTCGAAAAATGAGACCCCGGAATGTTTCTATTACATTTTAGGGAAAAGGAACGGGGGGTAAAAACTTGTAAAAGCAAATGGGTATCCCTGGCTTAGAATAAAAAAAAATAAATAACCGAAAGATCATTCTTAAAAAATGATGATGTTTCGTTGATCGAGTCGGCTGGGAAAAATTTCTGAGAGCCGAGAAAAAAATTCTCTGGCTTTAAAAAATAGAAAATAAAATAAAAATTGTTAATTTTTATAATGTCTTTAGACAACTTTAGAGATTATAAAAATTAACTATCCCACCCTTTTTATCTTGAATGATGTCTCACCCTTTCTAAAAATTCATTCTTTTCTTGGAATTCTATTTTTAAAAAGGGTGAGTCGTGTTCTATTTTTAGAAACATGACTCATTCTTTTTTTGGAATTTTATGTTTAGAAATGGTGGGTCATGTTCTATTTTTAGAAAGGGTGGGATAGTTCATTTTTATAATGTCTAAAGACATTATAAAAAATAACAAAAAGTTTTTATTATTATTATTATTATTATTATTAAGCTAGATAATTTTTTTTCTCGGCTCTCAGGAATTTTTCGCAGCCGACTCGATCGACAAGACATCACCATTTTTTAAAAAATGAACTCTTCCTTATCTATTTAAGAATTCGAAGTTCCGTTTCAGAACAGTCCGTGCTGTTGAAGAGGTAACGTTATATTTTTTATTAGTTCTGTCAAGATTGAATTTTATGTTATCGATCTTGCGAATATCTTCTCTGTGTCTTTAAATAATAACGATACCGAACCACTTTTTGTAGAGCACAACGGAAAAACCTTTTGCATAATCAGGACAATTCATTCGTTCAATCCCACGGCCCATGGTATTTGAGAATGTCTTGCGTAGATCCCGAAATGCGACCCATGGATCTTTGCAACCATTTCTCTAAAAACCGCCGTTTCGTTTCTCCTCGCACCCAAACCACGGAAAAAGGTTCCGTCAACACAGTTAACACCCATGGAAAATAACTGTACGGAATTTCTCCTTCGTACCACGACCAGCCGTGATAATAATCACTCGCCCGCACAGCTGTTCGTTTTTCTTTTTCGGTGAGCATTTTCCATGGAAAAGGGGGTTTGAAAACAAATACCCCTTGAGAAGTGTCATCCAACGTGACTAGTGATGGGCAACTTCGGTACTTTCTTGTACCCGGTACGAGAGTAACGGGTACAGACAAGTACCAGGTACAAAATACCCGTTACTCAAGTAACCGTTACTTTGAAAAGTACCGAAAACCGATTTCAAGTACCGAGTACCAAAGTAACGAAATACCGGAGTAACGGTTTGCTGTACCGGTGTACCCTAGTAACGGTTTGGAGTAATGAAGTACCCTAGTAACGGTTTGCTGTACCGGAGTACCCCAGTAACGATTTGGAGTAGCGAAGTACCCTAGTAACGATTTGGATTACCGAAGTGCCCTAGCAACGATTTGGAGTACCCGAAATAAAAATACGCAGCTAACGATTTTGCGCACTGCAGGAACTCTGCCACGTCACCACGTGTTTGATTTTATCTGTACGTAAATTTTGATAATCAGAAGCATGTAACTACGAAGGTTAGGCGAAGCGCGGGGTGTTCTGTTGGTTGTGTAGATGTTTGATGGCCAGGGGGTGGGGGATGGCGGGGAAGTGGTGGAAACATTTCGCTTCGGTGTCTTGTGGTAGTGATGGCAACTTCGGTACTTTCTTGTACCCGGTACGAGAGTAACGGGTACAGACAAGTACCCGGTACAAAATACCCGTTACTCAAGTAACCGTTACTTTGAAAAGTACCGAAAACCGATTTCAAGTACCGAGTACCCAAGTAACGATTTGGAGTACCGAAAGTAACGAAATACCGGAGTAACGGTTTGCTGTACCGGAGTACCCTAGTAACGATTTGGAGTACCGAAGTACCCTAGTAACGATTTGGAGTACCGAAGTACCCTAGTAACGATTTGGAGTACCGAAATACGCAGCTAACGATTTTGCGCACTGAAGGAACTCTGCCACGTCACCACGTGTTTGATTTTATCTGTACGGAGTAAGATTTTGAATATCAGAAAACATGTCAACTACGGAAGTGTCTGAGGAGCAGGAGAGCGCGGCGGGTTGTTTCTGGTGTTGGGTTTGTGTAGATTGTCTTTGATGGCCAGTGGGGGTTGGGAGGATTGGCGCGGGAAGTGGATGGATGGAAACATTTTCGCTTTCGGTTGTGTCTTGTGTGCAGGTGCAGCAAAATCGATGGGTGCTCTATCAATTTCGTGAAAGGGGTCGTCCATAAATGATGTCACGCTTGGAGGGGGGTTAGTGAAATTGTGACAGTTTGTGACAAGGCGGGGGAGGGGTAACAAGAAGTGTGACATCATATTTTGATTAAAATAAAAATGTTTAAAATCAGCAGATTGAATTTTGAAGTTATTTTAAATTACCAAAATTTGAAGGTATTTCCTTAATTGGGGCGAAAGCAACTTTCATGTGATTTTTTTTTTACTTACATTCCTTTCTTTCCAAAAAAAAAAAAAAAAAAAAAAGGCATTCAGAGTAGGTTTTGAGAATAGGGTAGCGGCAGAAATTGTAATTTTATTGCTATTGTGTATTAATTATGTTTTTTTGCTGTAAACTTTTCTCTTATTTCATACAAAATAAGTGCACGAATCATTATTATTGTTATATTTACAGATGTCATTAAAACATATAGTTTAAATTTAAAAATAAAGTCTGAAATATGATCTATAACGTAGTGCTACTACGTTTTTGAACTGCAAGTATAAGTTTACGTAATATTGCGTGACATGTGACAAAGGGGGGAGGGGGTATGTTGAAGTGTGACACTTTGTGACAAAGAGGGGGAGGGGGTCCAAAATGTTGCAGAAAAGTGTGACATCATTTATGGACAGCCCCAAATGAGCATAGTTGCGTACTTGAAAAACGTCGGAAGATTTTCTTTGTATGATATTGAAGGAAGGGAGAGTACACTATGTTTTTTTTTTCGGCTGTGTTGTGTTGTGTTGTTGGAGGGAAACAAAGGAAAAAAAATCGGAAAATAGAAATTTTGATGCAACACTATACTATGAGTAAAAATGTCGCAATAAATTTAAAATAGAAAATTAACTATAACTAGCTGTGTAGCAACCCGATAGGATGCAGTTTCCTAAGTAAATATCAGAAATTTAATGATCAATCTGTTTTAACATGATATTTTTTATTTATACGGATAAATAACATACCACAGAAGTCGTTTAATACCTACAATTCGGTAGTAAAGGGCATAGGGGTGCGTAGGGTCTAGACATTAAAATAATCACAAACCTTTATCCCACTTATAGATAAGATAATGACCTTCAGTACCACTGCGAAATAAAACTTATTCAAGCTACCAAATTTTAAAAAAGATAAATCTCTTATTCTCTACTCTCCCCTATATATATTAAAAATTCTGAATAAAAAAGTAAGATAATTTAAACATTAAATATAACATAAATGACCTTGTGTGTTTAATTGTACAATACTGGCATAAAATAAAATTTACACATTTATTCATATACACATGGTTGAAGAGCTTTTCCACAAAAAAGTTTATACTGTTCCTTTTTAAATTACATTTAGGTTTATTTTGAGTTAAATTTGTACTTTTGGAGATTTGGCACCCGTACAATAAACAACAAAATGATTAGAAATATTTTTAAAAACAAAAAATATGATTTTAAAAAATGCATAAACATATATATTTGATTTAAACATTTTGAATTACCAAAAGCACTAGAAAATGAGGTATGTTTTGAAAAGTGAGATAATGTAATATATTTGGATGTACTACAGTAATAAGTAAATTTCAGCAAAATGGTTAAAAATATTTTTAAAAAACGCACAATATGATTTTAAAAGGCACATTCAATATAACAATTTTGAATTGAAGATTATCAAAAAACACTAGAAAATAAGATAGCAAAGGGTTTAAAACTGTGAGAGCGCAATACCTGGATGCAGTAACTGCTGTAAACACAAAAATGCAACAGAATGGTAAAAAATATTTTTAAAACTCAAATTACAGCCAAAGCGCATTCGACATAAGAATTTTGAGTGAAAGATTATTAAAAACACTAGGAAATAAGGCAGCATGTCTTTAAAACTACGAGAACGTAATATCTGGATGCTGTAACAGCAAAAAGCAACAAAAATATTTGTAAAATCGCATTATATGAATTCAATAAGTACATTCGATATAAAAATTTAAATTAAAGATGATTTAAACACTAGAAAATAAGATAGCATGCTTTCAACTATATGAGAACTTAACATATGTGAGTACAGCTAAGTAAATAATAGAACTGTAGAACTTTATATTATATTAATGATCTAAATACAATTTCAAAATAATATTTTTTTTAAGAAATTGACATTTGAATGAAGTAATATTTCATTTAATTAAAACAAATAAAACTTTGATAGGCTGTGCAAAACGTTATAAAAGTATCAAATTTTTTAACTTTATGGAAATTTTAGGCATTTAATTCCTTCTATTTTTTTTTATAAAGACCAATTAAAATATGTAACGAAAAAATTGACTCCCAGAAACAGTTTTGAAAATAATGCAGCGAAAATAAACATAGAAATAAACATTTTAAGCTGAACTTAGGTTGGAATTTTAAGAAGGTCAACAAATGATTAAATATTATAATTGTAATGTAAGAAAATTAGTTGTTTCAACTTTTGTCCACTCAAACGGTTTCGCCGATCATTCAGTATTAATCCAGCTTTAGAGAACACCCTTTCGCATGGCACTGAAGTAGCCACAAGGCCTAATTTTTTCCGTGATAATTCATACAAATTAGGAAATACATTTTTATTCTTTTCCCACCACTCCAGTGGATCAGATTTCCTGGAAAGAATGGGCTCTTGCAGGTATCTTTTCACTTCTGCCGCAGCTTTGTCGATCGCCGCGTCTGCTGCGGGAGCTGATGAAGTTCGAGAGTCTTTAACTTTACTCTCAAACTCGAACCAAACCGATGATTCGTCTATCTCTTCATCATCCTCTTCCACATCCTCAACAAGATTATGGGTAGTTTGTGCAACTACCGATAACTCACAGATAATATCACTTTCAATTTTTTTGGCGACATCACATTTGAGCCCCAATTTTTTTATTCGGGGGTCAAGGAAAGCGGCTTGAGCAATGTCTTCTCTTGAATCGATAGTTGTAAATCTATTACCCAATTCACGTTGTAGTACTAGTACCACATTTTGTACTTGTTCATTAACACTTTTACTAAGCAGATTTTCACAGATTTTTTGAAGTCCGCCGATTAACACAGGCGCCATAGATGCTGACAAGTATTTTTTCCGAACTCAACTCGCAAGTCACCTTTTCAAAAGGTTTCAAAACGTCACAAAGATGTTGGACACTTTCCCATTCTGGCACATCAAGAGCCTCTGGGGGGGTCGTTCATCAAACCCATTGTAGAACGAATAGCGTCTTTCAGTTCAAGGAAACGTTTTACCATACCATATAAAACGTGCTGTTCCAACGAGTCTTCACATCTAAGATGACTTTTAAATCTTTTCTCTCCTCGCTAGAGCACAGATATTTTCGCAAATTTTTTGCAGCGATATTACTTCTCCTGTAAACTATCACAATATCCTTAATTTTCGTTAGAAGGTCGTTAACCTCGTTTAGAGAACTTGTGACAGACAAATTGAGAGAGTCACTCTCTCACACTCTGAGTGCACACTCTGAGTGTGCAATGCATCCTAAATGTTTTAACTTTAGTTCGCTGTCGACAGCGTTAATCATATTTTTGGCATTGTCAGTCACTATTAAAGACACTTTTTCCATCGGAAAATATGGTTGGCAAATGTGTATGATATTTTCTGCAATATTTTTGGCTGAATGACGTTCATCAAAAATTGAGCAGTCAATCAGTACCGTTTTCCTTTGCATGTGTTCGTCAATAAAATGGCCTGTCACGGCCATGTAACTTTCAGCCTTTTGGTTGCTCCAACAGTCTACAGTCAAACAGATATTTTGTACAGCACTAAGAACGTTTTTTAAACTATTCTTTTTTTCTTCATAAGCAGCAGGAAGCAAGGATTTAGAAACCGTTTTCCGTGAAGGTAAAGAATAGGTTGGATTCAAAGCCTTTGAGTATTCTCGGAATCCCTCATCTTCTACGATACTTATTGGTTGTAAATCCTTATATACCATTTTGATCAGTGCGAGATCGATTACTTTTTTTATGTACATCCATCGTATTTCTCTGGACAAACTGCATTATGCTGGACTGGGATTTTTGTGAAAATACACCAACAATATCACAAGCACTGTTGTCTACCGTAAGTTGTGTAGTCTGCTGGGATGTGCATGGTTGCCCACCATCTGCAGGGCTAGTGACGACAGAACGGGCTGGAGCGGCATCAATATCATCAACATCTTGATTCGGCAAAGCGCGTTTCTCGTGCAGATTTACACAAGGATGCTTCCTTTGCAAATGTTTTTTTTTTAATTTCCTGTTGAACCACCTTTGATGGATAAAAGGTCTTTACAAATGTCACACATAACTTTTTCGTCTTCATTAGTATAGGAAAAGTGCTGCCAAACCAAGCTGAATTTCCTTTTCTTACTAGACATTTTGTAATTCGATTTTTTTTTTCTGAGGCGTAAGAAACTGATAGAGACTAAGCAATTCTATAACGTACCGATACTCACCAGTACGAGACAAGAATGAATCTTATGGGAAAAGTGACGAAGTTGGGAGATGGTCATCAGCATCGTCAGATAAGCATAAAAAAAATTCTATTAACGACTTCCGCTGTTCACTCCAGCTGCAAATTCTAAAATCAGCACTACGCTGTGAAAAGGGTAAGTGCAATATCGCGTAATGATTCTATTAATCAGGCATGAAAGAGCAAAAAATGCAAAGGAAAAAAGGGAGGGACATGTATGTTTACATAAACATGTCCGGATAATTTCCGGTGTTCCATTCGATAGTTTTCCCCCCCTCAAATAAGCTCCAGAGGGAGTAAAAAAAAAAAAAGAAGATTCGGACTGCCAGGTCAAAGTTCACCTCTCTTCCTATCGGAGGAGCGTCGTCACGTCCTGGGGGGGGTAAAGCAGGCGTTGACAATCCTGCGTTAGGCACGTGACCTGGGTTTAGTTTTTGGCGAGATGAAAATCTGTTTTTAGAAGGGGGAAGAATTATCATAAGTGGGTCAGTTATCTTTGTTCTTTCATTAGAAAAGTTTAAAATTGCGTCTGTATTTTATGTTGATTGGCTTAGTGATCCACTAGATGCTGTGACATTTTCTGAAGTAGGTACAGCGGGATAAAAAAAGGATCATATGATTTACGTTGCCCTATTAAGCAAGCAAACGAAAAATATTTTTCATGATTTATGCTAAAAATATGTTGAGGAAAAGGAAGTAATCTAGTTGGTAGTTGATTCCATTCACCAATCCAACAACAGCAACTTACCAAATCAATCATTTCAGATCCACGCAGTTTTTTTTCCTACAAACGATGAAAAATTAAAACATGCACAATTCGGATTGCAAATCATCTAGCGCTCCCCTCCCTTTCCCTCCTGACTATACCGACTCCAATCACAAGCGAGCAATGCCGGCGACAGTGACTCCAACTGCTACTATTCCCCCCCCCACACACACACACACAACAACGAACGCCTTTCGAAAAATTTCCACTATTTCACACTCGTCATCCCGCGTACACAAAGGCAATTATAATTATACTACCTCAAACTCTAGTCTCTGTGACAAAAGGAACGGAAGTTTCCCCCCTTTCACGTTTGCCATTCCATGCCCTATTTCAAGGTCATTCATGGACACAAGGAGCGCATATCACCATTTCGCAAATACAACCAGATACTACTGTCCTCGTACCAAAACCGAAGTGAGCTGAACCCTCATCGATCCTCCAGTAACGAATACCGAAATACCGAGAAGAGACGCATATTTTCGTTACAAAGTAGCGAATACCGAAAAGCACCCGTTTCGGTACAGAAGTAACGAATACCGAAAAGTACCCGTTTCGGTACAGAAGTAACGAATACCGAAAAGTACCGATTTCGGTACTGAAGTAACGGGTACTTGGATGTACCGATTTTCAGTACCCGTTACAACTAAGTACCCGTTACAAAATACCCGGTTCGGTAGTACCGACTCATCACTATGTACAAGCATAAAAATGAATATTTGCAATTTTTGAAACCTCACAGGTAAGTGTCACAGCTTTGTTTTCTATCAAATATTGTTATGGGCATGTGTTTGCATCATGATAGTGTTTGAATTCCATTTCCCACAGGATATTTTACTTTAATACCTTTGAAAAACAAACCATATTGGATATATCGCTTTAAAACGGAGAAGAATATGTATTTTTCTTGTACTTTCGTTAAAATCATGTGTCTCGAGGCAATGTTTCTTCCATTGAAGTACAAATAGAAACGTGCAGTCTAAGAATAAAATACTTTATTAGCTTGAGCTGAGGTAGTTTTAATTCAAAGAAAAAAATGTGCCCATGAAATTTTGTAGTAATTTGTAATGAAATTTTGTAATAACTGTAAAGCATTCTGTCAAAATTGAAGACATGATTTTTCGAAAGAAATCATGTAAAATAATTAGGAAATTCCAAAGAACGTTAATGTTCCTTTCTATCTTGAATTTATTCAAAATAAATACGTAACTTCTTTCAAAGTAAATATTTTAGTTGTGCATGCCATGATGTTTTTCATTAACACAATTAAAATTTTTATTATTTCCTTTAACAATTAAAATTTATCTATCACGTCCATAAAAGTGACGATTAAGATATAAGCTTGCATATCGTTGCTTTTTATCTATTTACATATAATTTTTCTTCTTATTGTATCATATTCCTACAAACCGATGCTACCTGGTAATTTTCTTCAAATTTCCTTCTACTAACTGCTTGCCTTTAAAAGCGTAGTGACTTTCAGGAAACGATTTTATTGATTCATTTACCCAAATTTGTAATTTTAATAATGTAGAAAATTATTTTCTGTCTTTTTTGCACTGCAATTTGAACGATCCTTATAAAAAAAGGGAATTTCTTATAAGGTAACCTGATATACAGAGCTTAACTTGCGCTGGAGCCCGTTCCAGTATTCTTCAATTTTTGAATTAAATCTTAGGGTACTCGAGCTTTAAATAAGAGGTATTTCGACTCATCTTTTATGAAGATAAACCATAATTTTAACAAAAAGTTCTTTTGATCTGGTGAAATTTATTTTGGAGATGCGTGTCTCTTTTCAGGCAACAGATCCTTGAATGGAGGTTGGGACTTTTAAATGAATGTAAAATCCTCACCCTCATGTTAAAACCTTCTCCGTGATATGCAACAAATAAGAACTTGTTCGAGGAACGGGTAAATTTTCTTTCTTGAAAGTACTTGAAGTACTAGAAGTAGCTACTTTGATTAACCTGTTGTGTCCATTAATTCGCTGTAGGTGGATTTTTAATACTCGCGGATTACAACAAAACAAGAAAGAGGAAATTTTGTTTATGTTGCACATCCAAGCTACAACGAATTGAGTATAATTAAATATTACTGTACACTATTCAAATACGTCCAGTACTAGTGGCTTCTTTCCCATGACATTTGCAGACTTCTGGAACAGTGCAATCAAAGGGAAGAGACGAATGGGTGTAATCAAAGGGGAGAAATGGTCAGTTGTGAAAAACTCTTACGTTTGTTCTCAACTTATATATCCATTCTTTCACAGGGGAATTTTTTTCTCTAACACATGCTACTTGACAGCTAAAATTATATCGTCAAAACTTCTGGTCAGAAAGTCTTGGACTCGGCTTCATATGTTTTCATAACTATACTTCTTTCAAATTTCCTTCTATACTCTCATATTTCTTCTAGCAATCTCACTATTCCAGCGCTTCTTAACGAAGGGGGAATTTCAAAGTTCAGGAAGAATGCCTTTTACTTACCTTTTAAGACATAACATACCTGTTAAGTTCATAAGTTTTAATTTCTGAATAAAAAACATTATGTATGTTTTATTATTTATCAATATATTGTATACGTTTTCTTGTTTATTTTATGAAACACAGTAAACGATAATATAAATTTAAAAAAATGTAAATATACTTTTCGAGTTTTGGAAACGAGTAGAGGGGCGAAAGATCGTTTTGCAATAATTGTGTAGATGGGAAAAAAAAAAAAAAAAGTTGTTAACTACTGCTCTATTCTCATTAGGTGACGATGCAACCGTTTTATTTCTTGTCATAGGTATGCGAGAAAAATAATTATCTTTGTTTATAGTACCCCATGAAAC